ATTACTGATTTCTTTTTTTCTTATTCTTCTTGAGTTGTTACGTCCACGGTTGTTTTCGTTGATTTCAGGGAGGGGGGGGGGGGGGGGTATTTTAGTGATTTAATTGGGATGGATAAATATCCTGGCCGATTTTAATTTGCCCAGCCGGGGAGCTTTTCCTTCTTCGATCCCCGGGTAAAATCAAGGTTTCACATCTAAAAATGCCAGCTTTTGGTTTCAGGTGATTGTGTTATGAATCTATCAGAGGAAAGATGTCTGACGGAGCTGTTTACAACAATACCAAATTTTGGTTTGATCTAATTCAGACTGGAAGAGTTTATAAATCAAGAAAATACTCACAAAAGTACATCGACAGAGAATAAGAGGGCGATGTAATCTGTTGGCAGTCCAACGGCTTGCAGCACTATCACCATAGTAACCAAGCCCGCCTGAGGAATGCCAGCTGCACCAATTGAGACTGCTGTTGACGTTAGGCTAAAAATATATTATAACAAACAGTAAATTAGTCAACAAAAGTGAGAACGAATTGAGCATATTCTATATCTGTTAATGAGCTAGCGCTCATAAGTCTAGACTGTGAGCAGCCCATCATCTCTTTTTTCGTACTCCGACGAACGCGACGCGAAAGAAGCGCGACGAACGAAATTGTGGCGCGAAATCGGGGAATGGCCGCACAGATTTCGTGTAGCAATTTTTTTCTTAGTTTCTTTTATGTTGAGCTCAACGGACGACGACTACTGGTAGTTTATTTTAAATGTTGCCTATAGCTTCAGTTGACTGTTGATTGCGTTTTGGCGCTCTAAGCTGACGTACCAATTTCTAATTTTTGCCCCTCGAGTTATAACTCCCCTTCTTTCTGCTCCTAAGTGGAAAGTGTCACTGTGATAGTAAAGTATGTCGCCCAATAATACACAAAGAGTCCCGCCTAGGGATCGAAAGCGACTCTTTTCAATTAGCAGGAGTCCGATGCTCTAGCGATCTGACCACCACACCGCCACACATTCCCTGCCCTTCCCCTCTTTGTACATTTTCCCCTTACTGAACATTACATCACTTCGGTCCATAATACCCGGGGGGTTAATAGGCTGGTTATCTTAACATCCCTGATTTGTTACCTTGTTATGATTATCTCTGGGATAGTAAGCTTGATGCCGCTGGCTTGAGCGATAAAGAGAGCTTTAACGGCTTCATATAAGGCCGTTCCATCCATGTTCAACACAGCGCCCAGAGGCAGAATAAAACGACTGATTCTCACGTCGACTCTATTGTTTTCCTCCAAACATCTCATGGTGGTCGGCAAAGTGGCGGCGCTGGAAAAAAATATGAAATAGACAAAAATTTTACCCCTTTCTAGTTATGGCTACATTTAGATTACCGGTATTCAAATGAGATGTAGAGAGATGGAGAGGTTGACGCCGGCCAGGGCTCGAACCTGGACCGCTCGATCCAGAGTTCAGCGCGCTAACCATAAGGTCACCG